GCCCCGCCCCACCTCGCTCTGTATGGCCACTTTTCTTTGCTCTGCTTGGAGCCGTCGACGGAGTTACACAATACGTACCATGAGGACGGTGTAGACGCATTTGACTTCAGTCACGTCGGTCGTCATCGGCAGGTCGCCCATGTACCTCATGACGCACACGAAGCACTCGACGGCCAGCTCGCTGACCTCCTCCGTCTCGAGGCGCAGCAGTGACTGCTCGATGGGCCGCGGCGAGAACTTGACGAGGTCCACCTGCAGACAGAGAGAGGCGTCAGTCATCGTGGTGGTCGGTTACAGAGGGTGGAATGAAAAGACTGCGAAGTGGTCGTTCTGTTTGTCAGGCAAAAGTCGATAACTGCCTCAGCAGCTGAAATGAAAAATCCGTCAAATACGACGATAGCGGCACCGAAAGTTGATAGGTCACGATCAGACACATGTCTGAGAAGAACAAACTACCCACAAGTGTCAGATCGTGACATAACTTCCAGCTGTACGTATTTGATTTGATCCAAGTGAGTGATAACTACGAAGACACATGTTTCGAGGGCCTGAAGCAGACAGGCAAAGGCCGGTTAAAAGTGCGCACCTGTTCCTTCCAAGTCCACTCGTTCTCCTTGTTGCCTTTGCTCTTGCCCTTGTTCTTCTTCGTCTTGAGGCTCTCGATGACGTCGAGCGAGCCGCTGATGGAGCCGTCAGCCGTCTTGAGCATCTCGAACCTGGGATGAAAAGGAGGTCGTGGGTTAGAGCGGCAATCCGCGCGAAATTCGCGAGGGCAAACCGAACACAACAATAGGACATTTCACTTCATTTAAACCGCATCCGAAGAAGAACTGTAATGCTTTCCGAAATGTTTTCTGCCTGACGCTCATTGGCTGACACGGTTTAAGTTAGCGGATCCAACAGCAGGTCCACGACTGCCTTCGTTATTGACGAGTCCGACAACTTTGTACGAGGCAGCCAGTGAGCGTCACGGGTAGGAAACAGATAAGGAAAGCATTACTTCTCCTCTAGATCCGGTTAAAACGAAATTAAACAATACCCTATCACATCGAACCGAAAGCGTTTACTCACTTTTCTGGACTCTGTCGGAAATGGTGAATGGCGAACTGCAGCAGCGAGTGCTTGCCGTCGTGCACCTGGCCGCCCGAGCCCGGGCCGCCGCCGCCCTGGCCGCCGTGCTCGGACAGCGGCGAGGGCAGCGAGGCGGGGCCGTGGCCGTTGGTGTGGTGGCCGTTGGCGCCGTTGACCATGGGCGGCGGCATGCTGCTGGGGCCATGGTGCTGCTGGTGAGCCTGGTGCTGCTGGTGCTGCTGCTGGGCTTGCTGCGCCGGTGGCTGAGGCTGCGGCGGCTGCGGCACCCGGCCCGTCCACCCGTCCATGGACTGCTTGCGGTGCTCCGACTGGAACGACTCGAGCCGCCCGCCACCCGCACCCGGCCCGCCGCGCTGCAACAGGCGAGAGAGGAAACGCACAATCAGAGGAGGAGGCCAAAACTTTTCCTTTCGCTCATCACTTACTTCCACTCCCGTTCCGTTTGCGTATTACAATAACAATAATTATGAGCCGGCAGAGTGCTTGCAGCTTGCAGCACAGAGCGCCGCCGCCGCCAGGTCGGCGACCGCCTTTACCGAGCAAGCGTCTCTCTCCCTCATTCCGCAAGGACCCATCCACCCCCACTATTATTGCTATTATTCGAATGCCACGAAATAACGGCATATTTTTTGCGATTGCATCGCGTGGCCGCCGAAAAGTGAACATTTCACGAGCATCGGATTATTTCATCCATCAGTCTGGGCGCGGAGACAGCGTAAGGTTGACCCTCCCCCGTCTCCCCGCGCGGGGCCCACCGCCACCGTTGCGCCAGGAGGGGCCCTGCGTGAGAGACACAGCCCCTGAGAAACACCCGCCTTGCAAAATGAAACGCGAATAGGACCGCGGGGACGCGACCGCCACGCGCCCCCGCTCTGGTCGGAAACCGTCGGAAACGAAGGCAGTGGTATCGCGCGGGAATGTGGGAGCGCGCTGGATTATTGAACGCGGGGGAACGGAGCTGAGGCCGCGGGGGGCGGGGAGGGGGCGCGCGACTGGACCACTTTGTTACTTTGTTGCAGTGCAAGATGCAGTGTGCCGGTTTGGGGCGTGGCGCGGCAGCCCCGCGGGCGGCCCCCATCTCCTCCTCGTGGCGGACGCGAATGAGCGCAGGGCGGCCCATGTGCACGCCGTTGGCGCCGCCCCTCCGCCCCGCTGCCGCCCCCGCCGGACGTGAACAAGTGCACATGAGCGCCGTGCCCAAAGGTCAGAGGGACCTCGAGGCCCCTCGGGTGCTTGGCGCGCTCGGCTGAACGGCGCTAAGGCCAGGGCCGGGGTGGGGTGCGTATTTGCAGTAAGGGCTTTGCAGCGGCGGTGCTGACGAGCGTCGAGGGGGTCGCCTCCCTCCACGGCACGAGCGGGGCGCACCCGAAGAAAGCGGCCGCGAACTCCCCAAAGTAGGCGCGAGCTGTCCCGTCCCGCGCATGAGATAAGGGCCCCAAATGAAGCGCCAGTCCCACTCGCAGGTCCCATTCAGTAGACTAGCGGCCCGAATGGCCTTGAGGACCGACCGCCGACCGGTCGGCCGGTATGTGATCCATGGCGGGAGAAAACTCACTCGGCCGCCCCGCCCCGCCGCCGTCGGTCCAGCCAGAGAGAAAATGGCTCATCTCATTTACGCAGCAAAGGAAAAGGGGAGGAGGAATGGGGGGG